TTAGTTCCTCAAAATCAGGCCAACGTCCCTGTATTATCATAGTATGGGGACTTTGATCAAATTTTGCCAAAATAAAAAAGTAAGGCATTTTTCATTTTGATTATTTTTTTCTGATACATATACATGTACTTATGTTGTGCAGAAAGTTTGAGCTGATTCTAATTAAAATTTTGAAAGCTTGAGCCAATTAAATGGTCTTTAAAAGTACTGGCTATTAATAACTATAATAATCATAAATTAATAACTAACCATTAAAATACATGAAGTGTCACAGTTGGTTGATATTCTCTTTCCAATGCAAGCAGCTGTTTCATTAATACTACAATGACAATAAAAAGATGAAAATTATCACATTTCAGATAAAAGATTATCACCCAATAAAAAGTGAGCATCACTAATACGGTAACTATTATATTGATGGCTACACCTTGTATCATCAATAGTTTCATTTGCTTGATAGTACCCAACTATAGTCAATCCTTTACTGCTAGCATACAGCTCAACCTAACAACAATTAAACAATGATATAGTTATAGCAGTTTTTTATGACTAAATTTTTTGAATCCATCAAAAATTAGATGCAAACCACACAAATTTTTAACTAAAAAACTTCCTGCCACTATACAATATAAATAAAAATATATAATTAATTACTTGATTAAGTGCTACTTCAATCATGGGAGCCACGCCCAGTTCAATGTGAAACAATGGGATGGTGTCCTGTATCTGTACACGATTATCCTTCTTAGATATGGTTCCAATTAAAGCCCCATTAATTTCTCTATCCGGATACTTAGCAGAGTGGCAGATCAGTTTAGCATAAGCACGAGCTGACAACTGGAAATGGACCATTGTGTCTTTGCAAGAGCCAAGCCACACCTTCTATGAAGCGCCACCTATTCACCACACCCACATAACCATGGCCACATGATTGCACGTGGCTTCATAATCTTCCACGTGGATTTTGTATACTATTGTACTTTTCCGTAAACTGAAACTCTAGGAATGATGATCACGTGATACCTCTGCACGTGCTATCAAGAAGCACGTGTTGTTCCCGCCTTTTTCAAAAGGAGAAGAGAAGAACTGAAGATGAACTGGTAGAAGACTCTCTCTCTCTTTATCCCTCCCCTCCCTCTCTTACCAACATCCTCCATTGGTAAATATCTACTGATCTAACCTCTTCGTTTTTAGCACGGTATCCGCCATTTTATCACCACTCCTCCACCATACCCCCACTACTCCCATTATGATTACTCCTAAAGCCTCAGTCTGGTAAGTGATTCCTCTATTCTTGTTCTCATTATAGGCACATCAGAACTGAAGCTATTGAAGACTAACCCAGGATATTTCAAGTTGTCTATTGTTTTATGTAGGACCACCAGTCAGTATTTCAATGATCCATTCATTCATTATTGGTACGTGTGTATTATTATTATGTACACTCTATGTTTGTAGGTAATAAAGTCCTGCCCTAATCTTTATACATGTACGTGTACATACATATGCATTCTAGTGTACTCTTGTATATTTTTAGGATATTACTCAGGATACTATTTCAAGTGTCATATGTACTTGTATTATACATTCTATTGTACTCTTGTGTATTATTAGGATATTACTCAGTATATTGTTTCATGTCTCATCTATTGTACAGTAAATATGTGTTGTTCTTGTATTATTATCTATTTTACAGGTTATATTTATGTACTTGATTCATTCAGGATGTTTTAAGTATTGTCCAGTATGTGATTATATTATTATTTATTTTACAGGTTCATAAATACACTGAATTAAGTTTTATTAATGTTGTTTTGGTAATAAGTGGAAAATTGAAACATGCATTCTTGTTTATTTTCAGGATATCATCAGTATTCTAAAGACGGAACTACATGTACCTACAGTGCATCAAGTGTATGGTACAGTCAAGCTATGCATGTTTTTAACTATTTCTACATGTACACACACATTCTCTTGTTTTTATTCAGGATATTATCAGGATATTAGCACTGCAGCAGTTTCTTCAAATCTACTACAACTCATCATATGGTTCTCTAATGATATCCACACACTATCATGTACATGTACATCCTTATCTGTAACATGTATTCTATTTCCCTTTCCTTAAGATTGCTACATAGACTCAAGCCAGCATGCAATCTTCTTCAGCATCAATTCAGTCCCAGTCTTCAGTGTATGGTAACAATGTATCTATTGCATGTTATTAATAACCTTGATTACAGTGCTAATAATAAACGGCTCATTTTATCACTATTCATCCCATTACATGTAATAAAGCACTGTCCCATTGATCTTTACTTATTCTATTGTTTAAACATTTTCTCTTTTTTTTATTTCTGCAGGGATCAAGTTTAAAGTTGGTTGAGTGTGAGGTAGAGTGAGAGTTAATAATGTATAATTACGCATGTTTATAATGTATTTTATGCATGTACAATATAATCCACATATTCTGCTCTCTCCCTCCACCACCCCCCCAGGTCCGACTGTT